GGGAGCCAGTCTGGCAGCTCCTGAGACAGATCACCTTCAGTGCAGTTCAGCCGGGCGGGCCCAGGGATGGCAGGTCCCTCCCTTCTGCTCGTGGGGAGACGAAGGCCCAGGCAGACAGGACAGGCCCCATGGAGCCCGGGGGCGGCTTTGCATGGTAGAAGGCCATAGCCTCACCCTCTGGATCATCGTGTCTCATTAGAGGCTGAGAGCGTACAGTGGCCTCCAGAGGCCTCTGCAATTCAGGGCCAGCTCTCGGGCCGCCTGGAGTTAAATGTTTCCCAAGAGTCTGCTAGCTGCAGGCCTGTGTGGGGTGCTGAGGGTACACCGCTGGACAAAATCCAACCCGGTCCCAGGCTTACAGCTGGGAAGACAAACACTGCCACATCTCCCCGGCTTCAAGTCTGTGGTGCCGTGAGAGTGCACCCAGGGGGAGCTGACCTATTCCAGGCATTGGGGCCCAAGGCTATGATGCACAGCTGAGAGCAGAAAGCTGAGTAGGGAGTAAACAGGCAAAGAAGGGAGTGGTGTCAGGTGTTCCAAGCAGCAGGAATAGTATATGCAAAGGCCCTGTGGCAGAGGAAATGTAAGAAACTCAAGGAACTAAATGAAGCTATGCAGCTGGAGCCCAGAGCTAAGAGGACAGTGGTACAAGGGTGTGTGTGTGTGTGTGTGTGTGTGTGTGTGTAAAGGAAGCCATGGGAGTCCCTTTAAAAAGATGATTCCAGGTACAACTCAGGAGAGATGAGGTGTCCATCAACATGTGTGCTCCTCCCAATTTCTCTCTGGCTTTCAGGAGCCTCGGCCCCAAACCACCCCCAGCGGCTTGAATCAGAGGAAGACTCAGGGGAACCCCGTCTGGGGATCTTATGGAGCCAACCCAGGAATCCCTCAAGAACAAGATAGAGAATCCTGGAGACTGAAGGCAGATGGTGGTGGGTACAGGTCAGGGCAGCCAGGCCATCAATGACCCATGGTGGGGGAGAGGGGTCATGAGTCACCAGCGGCCTCATGACTGGCCCACCATTCCCCGCCCACCTTCTTTCCCCTAGGGCCTAGGCCACGGGGCAGATCAGCGGCTCCCCCACAGAGGCGGGCCCTCAAACAGGGTGTATAAGTAGACGGATGTAAAGGATGGAGGAATGATGTAAAGCATGGCCCCCAGTTTTACCTCCTGAGCTGCACAGATCCCCTCTGCGCCCCCCCCCCCCCCCCCGGTCGTCCTGTGTCCTCATGGAGCAAGGCCACTGCAGGGCAGGCAGGCCGAGGCGTCACCAAGCCGGGCAGCAGGAAGCTGCCAGGCAGGCGAGCCGGTGCCCGTGGCACTCACTCCTTCCAGCTTGGCTCTGGCCTCGTTCCTTGGGACACAAACAGGTCTGATGAGTTCCTGGGCAGCTGAGTCCTTGATTTCCAGGAAAGCCCCGCTCTTAGAGAGCACAGGGAGCGAGGCCGGGGAGAAGGAGGCCTCTTTCAGAACTTGCGCCTTCCCAGTCTCGGGCCCTCAGAGCAAGCTCTTCCCTTGTGTCCTGAGCAGGGAAGCTCCAGGCTGAGGGGGACCCCTCTTTTCCCACCTTCCCTAGAGGGATCAAGGAGCTTAGGAGGGTGAGGGACAAGGAACAGGACCTCCTTGTTGTGACCCCCAATTCAGTCCCTGCCCCCACCCCCCTCTGCTTTGGGTGGCAGTGTCAGGGAGCACTTACACATGCAGGCTAAGAACCAGGTTACCTGGTTCCACACCCAGCTCTGCCATTGAACTTGGGTGAACTCTGGACTCACAGGGATAAGATGAATCTTAGCAGACACAGACCGTAGCCTGGGGCCTGGCACATCAGATGCCATCTTGTTGGCATTTCTCCACTCGGTCTTCAACCTTATCAAATCCTCCAGCCCTCAGTCCCCACCTCTCAGCCAGCTGACTTCCATCTCTGCCTGGTTCTCCTCTTGGTCTAAGTGCTCAGGGTTGGTTCATGGATTCTGCTTGTCCCACTGCCTGCTCGCTCTGCACTGGACTGGCTCATACAGGTCCTGGCTCTCCATCCCACACCAGCCACTGCTTCCTTAGCACCCACCTAATTCCCAGACCTCACCACCTCACACTCGACAAGCCCCAAACCGAACTCAGCCCCCTCCCCAGAGCCACTTCCCTGGTGTTCTCCACCCCAGAGCATTGTGCCATCAGTCACCAAACCTGAGTCCCCACCACACCAATCGTGTCCACCCTACTTTCTGACCATGTCATCTTTTTTCCTTCCTCCCTCTTTTCCTTCTTTCCTTACTTCCTTTCTTCCCTCCTCTCTACCTCCTTCTCTCTCTCTCTGTCCTTCTCTCTCTGTCCTTCTCTCTCTCTCTCTCTCTCTCTCTCTCTCTCTCTCTCTCTCTCTCTCTCTCTCTCTCTCTCTTTCTCTCTCTCTCTCTCCCCCTTCCTTTCTATTGGGATATATAATAAATATATTAAAGGATATTAATGTATTAAATGCATGAATTTTAATGGTACAGAGTGATCATTTTTCATATATGTTTACACCTGAGTATCCACCACTCAGATCAACACATAGAGCATTCCTGGCTCCTATAAAGTTCTCTCATGGTCCTTCGCTCCCCCCACCTCAGAAGTAACCACCTTTCAGCCTTCTAACTTCATAAATTAGTTTTGCCTTGGTTTTGAATTCCACATAAAAGGAATCAGGAAGTATGTACTTTTAGACATGGAGATCAGTGAACTAGAAATGAGAGTCCAGAAATCAACCCATACATCTCCAAGCAATTGATTTTTGTCAAGGATGCTAAGGCCATTCAATGGAGGAAAATAGTCTTACCATAAAAGGTGCTGGAAGAACTGAATAAAAAATTAAGTTGGACCCCTACCTCCTACCATAAACAAAAAAATAACTCAAGATGGCTCAAAGTCCTAAATTTGAAAACTATAAAACTCTTAGAAGAAAGAACATGTGAAAAAGAAAACTATCAAAAGAATGAAAAGGCAGCTGGGTCAGTGTTCCTCAGTGGTTGAGCATTGACCTATGAACCAGGCGGTCACAGTTCAATTGCTGGTCAGGGCACAGGCCTAGGTTCAATCCCTGGTTGGGCACATGCAGATCAATGGTTCTTGCTCATCGTTGGCGTTTCCATCTCTCTCTCCCTCTCCTTTCCTTTCTGAAATAAATAAAAATATTTTTTAAGTGAAAAGGCAACCCACAGAATGGGAGAAAATGTTTGCAAATCACATATCTAAAAAGTCTAGTCTCCAGAAAATATATAGTCTTCTTACAACTCAACAACAAAAAACACAATTTAAAAATGGGCATAATTAATTTCCTTTCAATGTGCACAAATCCATGCTCTGGGCCCCTAGTATACTAAAAAATGGTGAATTTTATGGTATGCTTATTAAAACATTTTATTTTTTAAAGTTTTATTAAAGTATACCCTTTTAAAACTTAAACTAAGTAAGTTCTATTTTGTGGGTCTTTTTCTATGTGATGTAATATGAGAGCATGTTGTGGTGAGGATCAGTACTTTACACTTATTGCTGTGTAGTATCAATGCATGAACATATTATCGTTTATTTATCAATTTTCCTCTTGGTGGACATTTGTCTTGTTTCCAGTTTGGGACTCTTATAAACCTGTAAACTCTCATACATGTCTTTTGAAGGATGTATGATGGACATTTCTCGTGGTATGTACCTAGGTTTGGAACTACTGGCTCAGGACATGCATGCGTTTTAACTTCAGCAGATCCTGCCAACGAGTGTTCCAAAAACGGTTGGCCCATTTTACACTCCTGCTACCAAAATTGGAGAGTTCTGTTTGTTCCACATCCTCATCAACACGTGGCCCTGGCAGTCGTTTTACTTTTAGCCATGGTGGGTGTGCACCCAATGGAAGTGTTTATCTGCATTTTTTTTCCCCCGAGAAATGAGGCTAAACGTATTTTCAGGCCACTTGGATACCCTTTTCTGTCATTGTGAGGGCCTTGACCAGAGTATGCCGGAGGCTAAAGGCCCATTCGCCATAAGCAAGCGTGAAAGCAATGACACAGCAGTATTACTTCGTTCAAGGCCCCTTTGCCCTATGCGCGCATGAGAGCAATGACTCAGCAGCACCGTACTGCGCAAGCGCACCCTTACGTAACCGGCTTATGTTAATTAGCGCAGGCGCCCCTGATTGGCACGAGGCCGCGTCTGTTGGAGCATCTATATAAGCTGCCACTGAGCAGCCAGTTGTAGGCTGCTTTGTTCATGATAAAGCTCTTTCTGCCTATCTACCATTACTCGGGTGTTCTTCCAATTTCCTGCACCCAGAGGGGTCAAGTCCCTGGCTGAGGAACTTGCACCCAAGTCCTCTCCCTGTTCTTTTTGTTTGTTTTGGTTGTTACCTTTCCAATATTAATGTATAAGATTTTTTAAAGTACGTTCTGGCTTTCAAATGTCTGTCAAAATCTATTGCTGCCAATATCTTCTCCAGCCCGGGGCCTTGCCTTGTCTTGTTCTTCGTGTTGTCTTTAGTGAACAGAAGTTCTAAATTTTTTATGAAGTCCAACTTATGCACCTTTATTTTGTGGTTGGTGCTACGTGTGTCCCGTTTAAGAACTCTTGGCCTTCGTCCTTGAATCGACCCCTCCTTTCTACCTGCCTTGCCTCTCTGAAATAAGCTCAGTTTCTAGCTTCTACGTCTCCGCTGGACAGGCTTCCCTCTATGTCCCCACCCCAATGGCTGTCCTCGCTGCATGATCCTCCTGCCCAGGGACAGGACTGGCTCATCGCTGTGTCCCTGGGGCTGGCAGTGGGGCTGGCACGCACTAGATGCTCAATAAAAGCTTCATAAACGAAGGCAGTGTCCTGTGGCCCAGCTGGGGATCGTTAAAACTGCCAATTAGTTCTAAACACTAGCTCATCAGGAACATCTGAGCAAAGCCGGGGAAGTAAAAAGTTTTGGAAAAACCAACAGCATAGGAATGTTTAGCTTTCTCCCCAGCAGGAGCATTAATCACAAAAACGCAGACCTTGTTAGCATTATTTATTCTTGCCTTGCACCCCACCCACAAGGCAAGGAGAGCCTTTCCTCCCGCAGGCTGGTCACAGGAGCTCCCCACCGGTTGCCCGGAACCCGTGTTTGCTCCCTCTCCCTACTGCTGGGGGGAAGGCCCACGATCTCCTCCTAGTCTTTCTCTTCACCATGCGTGATGACATAGCATAGGTTCCTGTAGTCCAGGTTGCCACACACATCTGGCGGGAAAGCTGCAAACATCTGCTTGACCTGGGGAAGGAGCAGGGAGTCAGCCTGGGCCCGGGGTCAACTAAGGGCCAGAGCAAGGGGTCCCCCAAGTGTGTCAGAGTGCAGATGGAAGCGTGGCAGTGGAGGGCGCGGACGGAGGCCAGGATCCCACAGCCGTCCCTCACCCCCATCCTTCTTGTTCTCGTCAAGGGAGTCAAGGAAGACATCTCTAAGAGGGATCTGAGTGGGATGGGGTGGAGTGGGGGTGACTGCTGAGAAGGGCTGGGCTGTGCTTTCCAGGAAGACTCTTCGCAGGGCTCCACAACACCCTTAAAAAAGCCAGAGCTCACCTCCTCCTCACTGAACCGGTCTGCCTGGGTCATGAGCTTCTCTTTGATGCTGCTCAAGGAAGAGAAAGGGTCATGTTCAGGGGAAGGGCCACCCTGTGAGTAGACACGCAGCTCGCAGGGTTGGTGAGGGCAGGGGGGCTTGGGGGAAGAGTCCTGGCCCGGGGTACACCAATGAAGGCAGGGAAGGGGATAGGCCTGGTGCTACAGCCCCCAGATAGCCACAAGGGCTCAGACGCCACTCCAGCTGAGCCTCATTTTCTTCCTTGGTAACGCGGACTCTCCTCCCAGCATCAATTAGGAACCAAACAAAATGACCTTGGAACTCCGACATGATCTTGGGGGGCCACTCAGATGTTCCATGATGCACGAATCATCGACCTCGAGGCTCCTGAGGGTGGCCTCTTTGCCTTGGTTCTGGGTGTCCTGCTTCCCGGTGTGTGATGGTTGCTGCCGTGTGTGCAATGCTCTACTGGTCCCAGGTGCTCACACTCAGCCCAGGACAGGGAGTCCTATCCAGGTGCATGCCCTCATGGGCCTGCCCGGGGTTCATCTGCTCCTCGTGGCCTTGGGAAGTGAGTGTCATTAACTCCGTTTACAGAGAGGGAAACTGAGGTTTGGGAAGTGTAGTGGCAGGGTGGGGCCTGTTCCCGTGGGTGGTCCAGAGCAGCTGCCCGCAGGAGCCAGAACTGCCTGGGCCAGAGGAGTAGCCGAGGATGAGACACAGAAGGTGTTTGAGGCTGCGCAGGAGGGACTGATGCCCTAGGAGCTGGGGGGAGGGCGCCAGAGGGCCCTCAGGGAGAGCAGGGAGCAGGGATGGCCCTGGAGAGCTGAGCTGGGCCCTGGGCACCAGTGGCCTGTGTCGCCAGCAATGGCAGGCCCCGCTAAGGACCACGCACATTTTCCATTATTTGTGTTACTGCAGGACAGTCACAGTTTCCAGCTCTCCAGGCTGCGGACTGTTCACAGACTCTGTTTCAGCCAGAACCTCCTTGTGGCCTGACTGGTGGGCAGCCACATCTTCCAGGTCCCCTATCCCCGGGCGGTGCCTTTGGTTCCCAAATTGGGTGCCCAGAGGGTTCCTCCCAGCCCTGGCCTTGCCCTGGTGGAGACGAAGGTGAATGGCAGAAGTGCCCCAGAGACTCCCCCAGCTCCATGGACCCTCAGGGAGGGGTGAAGGAGAGGGCTGCAGCCTGGGGAGATCCTAATCACCCCTCCCCTCCCCCTGGGGAGTGAGTGACTCACAATGTTGGGAATGTGGGATGGTGAGAATGTGTGAGAGACAAATGAGACTGTCCCCACTTCCCCTCTGCCCCCTGCCCGATCTCCCACCCCATCTCCATGAAGAGATGATTCTAACAGGCAGCAAAACTAGTCTCAAAGCCAATGCCTGAAGCATCATAGGAATTGGTCAGAAAGCCTGTGCCTGGGGGAAAATCTTGCCTATCTAGGATCACCCAGAGACCCAGCACGGCCTTGCAGGCTCAGAACGGATGGCCCAATTCAGTGTCCCAGTCCCTGGACAGGTGGCCACTGCCCCGCCTGCCACTCTTGGCCCTCTGCTCTGAGCTTCCACTGGGCTGAGGCTCCCAGGCATAGCAGGTGTCAGTGCCCACACCTCTGTGATGCCAGCCCAGAGGCCCTCCAGAGAGCTGCCCATAGCCACTGTACTCTCTGTATGCCCAGCTGAGCTGGTCCCTTTCCATGGGCCACCTCCATCCTGACCCACTCAGGCCCTGGATCCCATTGGTTTGACCTCTGGTGTTTTACTTACCTATCCCCGCCCTGTCTCAACAGCCAAGGCCTTCTCTCCTCCTCCAGGCTGGCCTCCATGCTGCTCCTGCCTGACTCTTCCTCAAGCTCTCCTATGCTCCCGGGGCAGACCCAGGGTCCAGGGCCTGGCGATGGAGCTACCTCATACAGGCCCTGCCTCCTACTCTGTGCTCAGTCTCCCCCACCCCACCCCACTCACACATCTTCAGCCACACCCTCTCCTTCTCACTAACCTCGCACACACCAAGCCCTGGCACTGCCCTCTCTGTGTTCCTGCATCTAGAACACACCCTGCCTCGGCTCAAGCACCATGAGTCATCCTTTGAGACCTGCCTCTCCCCCGACCTCGCCTTGCCACTGGGAAGCCCTCCCTGGTGACTGCAGACTCCCTGCACACTTCCACACAGAAATGGGGGCACTGCGGCCCAGAGAGGGGAGGGACATCAGTAGCTGAGCTGGGCTGCCACCCACCCGGACGCCACACGGTTCCTTCATAGCTGAAGTGTCAGAGAGGGAAAGCCCAACGTGGAGGGCGGAGGGGACTTACAAATCCGCCTTGACGAAGCCTTTCCCCTCAGCGTCGAACACCTTGAAGGCGTGTAGAATGGTCTCCTCTGGGTCCGTGCCTAGAAGCAGCACACATAGGCAAGGAGAGTGCCACGTGAATAAGGTGACCAGACGTCCCGCTTTTGGCGGAACAGTCCAATTTTTAACAATTTGCCCCGTGTCCTGCGGCATTTTAAAAAAGTCCCGATTTGCCAAAATCGATTTGGCTTGGTGGATAGAGCATCGGCCTGCGGACTGAAAGGTCCCGGGTTCGATTCCGGTCAAGGGCATGTACTTTGATTGCGGGCACATCCCCAGTAGGGAGTGTGCAAGAGGCAGCTGATCGATGATTCTCTCTCATCGATGTTTCTAACTCTCTATCACTCTCTCTTCCTCTCTGTAAAAAAAAATCAATAAAATATATTTAAAAAAAAATTTTTTTAAAGTCCTGATTTTTGGAAAGAGTGCAGGACAAGCTAGGAAACTGCTCCATATAGACCAAATTTTTAATCAAGAACTCCCCCCCGCCCCCGTCAGTGGTGTCTCGCTTTACCAATGTCAAAATCTGGTCACCTTACACACGAAGAGAGCAGGCAGGGTTTGGATGGGGGCCGGGGAGCTCCCTCTCCAGCTTCCACCCCACAGCGGGAGCAGGGAAAGGGAGATTCCGGGGAAACCAGGAAGAGTGGTGAGAGCCAAGGCCTGTGCGTGGAGCGATCACCACCGGCACAGCTGTGCGCGAGCCTGACTGAGTCCTCACTGCGTGCGGAGCCTGTGAGGGGCCTGAGGCTACAGGACTTGGCCAGGTCCTCACAGCTGATGCTGCCCTGTGACCAGTGAGTGGGGAGGGCAGCGCTGGCGCTTTCTCTTTATCCGGGATGTGTGCATGACAGGCTGTGGGTAGAGAAGAAAAAGCTCTGCACTTGGGGGCCAGAGGCGGGACTCGGGCAGTAGTGTCCGAGGTGCCTGTGAGCTTGTCCCGGGCAGAGACGGGAAGCTGGGCCGGCAGGCTGTGGGGCGGGGCAGCGGGGACGCGCATTCCCAGTTTTATCACTTTCCTAGCATGGGCTTTGGGAACAGAGGTCATTTGAAGAAGAATTAGCTCTGTTCCCACAACGGGATTGAATATCTAGCCCCCTGGTGGTGCAGATGGGGAAACTGAGGCCCAGGAAAGGAGGGTCTCACCCAAGGCCTCACAGGCTGTGTGCCTGACAGCAGGTGACCTGGTGACCCATTTGTGGCGCTTCTTCTCCTCTGTCACCTGCCCTCCCCCTCACTGTGGCCGGGGGATGTCTCCTTCCTTCCCTAAGGCTTAGCTGTCTCGTTGGTGAAATGGAGAAAAAGGTGCTGCCTGGGTCAGTTATGATAATGTCAAGTAAAGATCTGGACCAGCATTACTCCTGTGTGTCCGCAAACACATCTGAGCGCTCTGCGCTAGGCTCCACCCTGCAGCGCCACTGTTTGCTCCCATGGGACCCCAGAACGCCCCACAGGGTGGGTACTGATGTCCTCAGTTTGTCAAAAAGGAAACCGAGGATCGCAGAGTCCCTGTTACTTTCCTGAGATCCCCACTAATAAGGGGAGGAAGGATTGGAAGCCAACTCTTTGGGCCCCCAGAGCCCCCTGCTCGTTCCACCCCTCTGTGCTCCTGCCCATCAGACGGGGTCAGGGTCAGCGGGGTCTCCCTCACCAGCCTGGGAGCTCAGGGCGGGATGTGTCTGGGCCATTGGGCATCTCCGAGACTGGCCCAGACTGACCAAGCCGGGCGCAGTGCTGGCCCCGCAGCCACTCTGGTCTGCAGACTTCGAACCTCATCGAAAGGGTGCAGAGTGGCTACACCTTCCCCTCGCTGTTAGGAATCTCACGACAACGTGTCCTTGTCCTAATTAGAGGGACTGCCTCAGCCCGCCTCCTGTCTCCACTGCTGGCTGAGCATGCAGGCACAGCCAGTTTGCATGACATGGCCAGCTGAAGCCCAGTCCCGGCGTCCCCGCGAAAATGAGAAAAAGCTGGGAGGCCGTGACCCTGCCTGGTCTGGGGTGGAGCTTGCAGCTCAGTCATAGACCAGCACACCTCCCGGGTAAGTCACTGGCTGGAATCCCACATGCCTTTCTCAGGGCCCCGGGCTTCTGAGCTCTTCCAGAAGGTGGTCACGGTCCCAGAAATAACCCTCCTGGCTGCCTGGAGGTGGCCTGATGGCACTTTTGAGTGAGCTGGACAGCGCCAGGCCCACAGCCTCCTCTCCCCCACCTCTGGAGTCCTGTCTCTAACCAGGAGGGTGAGGCTGCCAGGTCATAGCTGCCTCCTTCTAGTCCAGAACCAGCCAGGACAGTGTGTGTGGGGCTATTGTACTTGCCAGCAGGTCACAACCCATGAAAGTATTATGATTTTTTCCCCTTTACCAAATAAAAGCTGTTCGTTAGGTGGGATCCTCTCTGTAGCGGGTTGAATCATGGCCTCCCAAGATACACCCATGTCCTTATCCCCGGGACTGGGAAGTGTCACCTCAGTTGGAAGAGGGGCTTTTGCAGATGTCAAGAAAGGATCTTGAGGTGGGAGATGACCCTGGATTACCCAGGTGGGCCCTAAATCTTATGGCAAGTGTCCTCTTAAGAGTGAGGCCAGGGAGCCATACAGAAAAGGAGGCAGGGGACCACGGAGGTAGAGAGGGGAGCGATGCAGCCACAGAAACTGGGAAAGGCAGCTAACAAGTTACCCCCCGGAGCCTCTGAGGGAGCAGAACCTGCAGATATCATATCCCAGGCTTCAGAGCAGAGAGAATACATTGCGGTTTTTCAGCCGTCACGTTTGTGGTCATTTGTTACAGCAGCCCCAGGAAATCACCACAGTGCTCATCTTACAGACAGAATCCTGAGGTGCAAGAGTAGACAAGCCTTGGTCGTCCTGGGGGCTTGTAGGGGCTAGGCATTGAATCCAGATTTACCCGAGACAGGATGGGCATCAGGCAGGGGCACCCTCAGGGTGCGGTGGCTACAAGGCCCGCCTCCCAGGGCACGCAGCTCAGGCTGGTCCTTCCCTCTGACCGTGGACCCTCAAGCCCAGGGGTTGGCGCTAGGGGCAGGGGGCAGAGAGGCTGGGCTCCCACCCCGCCATGCACCCCGTGCCTGACGTTGCAATGGTTAGAGCCAGGAACGGGGTCAGGGTCCATCCCGACCACTTGGATGCTGGGACACCCGGGGCAGTTGTAATGACCTCTCTGAGCCCAAGTCTTCTCACTATGAATGAGGCCCTCCACCCTTTCCCCGGGGAAGGAACTGTGGTCAGCTGCTAACACTTCCCGCCCCGCCTCCACTGTCCAGCGGGCAGTGAGGCAGAGAGCAAGATGAGCCCAGGGGGAGGGAGGAGGCAGAGGCATCCTGACGGTGGGCAACGGGCTTTTACACAACTTGTCCCCCGGGCCCCTCGTGGCTCTGCAAAAAGGTGTTACCACAGTTACTACCGCTCGGTGGTGTCGAGGTGGAAACCGAGGCCGGGCAGGGAAGCTATGTGTTCCCGGGGGTGACACCATGCTCCCAGCTGCGGTGAGCATCAGCAGGGTGCACATCTGCACACAGGGCCCAGCCTGCCCGCACCCCCTCACCCCTCCCTGCCCAGGGCCACCCGGGGCCTCACTCACCCTTCAGCTTCTCCCCAAACATGGTCAGAAAGACCGTGAAGTTGATGGGTCCAGGGGCCTCTTTCACCATGGCCTCCAGCTCCTCGTTCTTCACGTTGATGCGGCCTGGGGAGGAGAGGGAGATGGCCAGGAGCACAGTGAGGCTGGGGGCGGATCCTGCCTGCAGGCGGCCCAGGAGAACAGAGTCCTGCAGGCTCTCAGCTCTACCATCCACCCGCCCTGACTCCCTGAGGCCCCGCCCACCTGCTGGGGGGCTTCAGGGGCAGCGGGGGGTGGGGGGCGGCGCGCGCAGACCACGTGCAGCCTGTCAGCCCTGGTCAGCCCCCAGGCTCAATGCACTCAGCCACCACCGCTGCCTCCTTGGGAAGTGGAGCACTTGCCATCCATTTTACAGATGAGGAAACTGAGGCTCAAAGAATCTGAAGCTGAGGTGCATATGGGGCTGGAAGACCTGGACCTCAGGCTCATTTGTCCCAGGAGGGGGCAACTGGTTGCCAGGAGGTTGGGATTCTGGGGTTCCTCTTGGTTCCTTTTTTTACCAAATAAAAGCTGTGCAGTTAGGTACAGTATAGCTTTTATTTGGGAACCAGATCTCCAGGAGCTCAAAGCTCAGTCCAGTCCTGACTTGGTTCTGCCCCCTTCCCCAACCTCAGCCCGCACCCCACCCAGTCCCTAAGGCCCTCTTTAGGTCCCTCCCTGGGCCTTGGAGGGGGCAAAAGCCTCCCTGGGAGCCAGAGCCAGTGATACCTGCACACACCTCCAGCCTCTCCCCCACCCAAGGCATCTCTTGACCCCTCACCTCACCCCAGCCTCCCACCCCCCTGACCTTTGCACCTGAAATGCCCTCTCCCTTCTCTGGCAAGTCCTCCTCTAACAACCAGGAACCCTTCCTGACCTTCAGTGACACATGAGCCCCGCACCCCCTGCCCCCCGCCGCTCCCTCTCTCCGGAAGGCCTGCTCCGCCCAGCCCCAGCCTCCACACTGCCGTCACCCACCCAGGGCAGCAAAGGTGTCCCTCAGGTCTTCCTTGTCAATGAAGCCATCGCGGTTCTGGTCCATGATGGTGAAGGCCTGGCAGAGACACGGGCACTGAGAAGTCTCCCTTCCCCTCCCCCAAGCCCAGCTTCCCCCCCAGACAAAGAACACCTCCCCCAAGGGGCTGCCCCAGCAACCTCCGTGCAGGCCCCTCTGGCCGCCCGGTTACCCAGCTCAGCATAGCACCCGAATGTCAGCAAGGGCTAACCCACAGGGAGCGCCTACTGTGTGCCAGCCTGCTGCTGGGGCTTCATGCCCATCCCTCAGTCCATGTTCACAGCAACCCCCTTTTACAGAGAGGCAAGCTGAGGCTCAGAGAGCGGAAGGACCTGCTGAGGTCATATAGCAAGCAAAGGTCAGACAGAGAGGGTCATGCGCCATGGACTGCGGTCACATCTGCGGGCTGTGAGGCTCACCGTGGAGGACATGGAGAACAGGGACACCACCGCTCCGCAGGAACGAGGACCAAGCCCACGCCTTTCTAGCTCCCCAAGTGCTGTCTATGGGTTACACAGACCCTCCCAATGGCCCCAGGGGACACCCACCAACCTCTTTAAACTCCTGGATCTGGGACTGGTCAAACATGGAGAAGACATTGGAGCTGGCTCCGCCTTCCGCTCTCTTCCGGGCTCTCCTCGGTGCCTGCGGGGGGGGGGGGGGGGGGGGGGCGGGTGAAGGCCTTGCAGGAGCCCCTTCCGTGGGAGGCCAGCCATTCCCCACCTCCCAGCCCTCGTGCCTCTCCCACAGCCCCGCCCAAAGCAGACAGGCAGGCAGAGCTCCTGACAAAGCCTTGCAGGTGAGCAGGGTGGCTTCCCAGCCCTCGGCCAGAAGCCCCCAGGAGCGCCCCCCCATTCCCGGGCCAGACAGCTGCCTCCTGACCTGGGCCCCCGGGCTCCGGAAGGCGGGTGGTCTGCGCCCAGCCTGTGAAGCAGAGAGGGCATCTTTTCTAGCACCAAACCCAGATCCTCTCCTGCCATCTCCCCAGCCTTCTCAGGACAACACGTGGACTCCGCAGCCCTGGGAGATCTGTCCTCTGTCCCTCTCCCAGAGCTCCCACCTCCACTCACCCGGGTCCCCAACTCTGTCCCAAACCCGCTCAGAGCTGCTTCTCACCCGGCGTTTCCTCCTGCCATTCCCCCTGCCTGGAGTCCCTTCCCTGCCTTCCATCCGGCAGAATCCCCTTCCTCCAGGCTCAACGCCTCTGCCGCCTCCTCGGAGAAGCCCTCCTGATCCCCAGGCCAATTTAGAGCTCCCCGATTCTTCCCTTCCTGCCAGCCTGGGGCAGCCACAGCCCATAGAACATACCACACTGTCCTGCCATGTCCCTGTGTCTGCTCGTCTCGGAGGTCCCCTGCCCCACCCAGGCTCAGAGTAGGGGTCGGTTTGGAAATAGCTCCCCGAAGCTCAGGGGTGAACTCCCCCAGCAGGGAGAGCAGGCAACCACCCACATGGAATAATGCCAGGGCTTCCTTCAGGATGCCACGGGGCCTGGAGTCCACTATTGAGCATGCCCTGAACGCTCTGAGTCCCCAAGAACCCCTGAGGAGAAGACCTTGCCCTCAGCAGCCATCACGGGGACTCTCGTGTTCAAGGAATCCCCGAACTGGCTCAGAGAGGTGGGACAGACACATGCTTCCTGCTCCCACTCTCCTGCCGCCTCAGCCTGCACCACCCATCTCAGAGCATGGGCTTCCCGTCCCTCCACCCCCACCTCCATCCCCACCCCCAGTGCCTGTGTGGTCTTCGCTCCTCCCGCTCCCTCCTGTCCCACCACCCAGCTTCCCCACCCCTGCACTCGCCCCCTCTTCCCTCCGGCGCCTGGGCTCAATTCAGGAGCAGCGGCTCGGCTGACTTATAATTAGCTTTTACTGGGTGCTTTGTCTCCACTAATCCTTTGAAAGGGGGGCTGGCAGGGCAGCCAGGACGTTATGATGCCGTAAAACCTCTGTAATATTTATAAATCCCTTCAGACATCATAAAGAAAAGAACCTCCCTGCAGAGTTCATCTCACATAATTACATATGCATTTCCCTCTGATTAATAAAAAGGATCGCTTCCGTCTGTGGGATGCTCTGCCCTTTCTCTCCTCAGACCTGCTCTTGGCCTGGGCATCACCCATCCCTGCCTCACCCAGCCTTCCATGGCCATCCTGTGGAACATGGCTGGAGCCCCCAAAAGGAGGACTGCCTAGGGCCTTCTGATCTCCCAGCCTGGACCTTTGCAACCTGCCTGACTTGGGAATTCCCTTTTATAATGTGCCCCTAAAAAACAAAAATCCCCTGAGAAGACCACCTCAGAGCAGAAGGGGGTAGCCCAGATCTGAGTTCTAATCCTGCCTGTGGTATGCACAGCCTCTGTGATGTTAAGAAAAGCGGTTAAGGCTCTAAGCCTCAGTTTCCCCATATGTGCCCAGCTCCAGGCATCAGGACATTTACTAGGTCCCTACTGGTCTCCAGCCAGGCCCTGTGACCTGACTCAGGGACCCATAACTGAATCAGGCCCCATGCTTGTCCCCAAGGGGCCCAGAGACCAGGTACTGAGAATGCAGAGCCACCGGGGCCCTCGGGGCAAACCTCCCAGAGGAGGTGGCTTCTGAGCTGGAGCTTGAGAGCCGAGTCAGCGTTCTCAGGCCTAGAGGGACTGACAGGGTGGGGGAGACAAAAACAAGGGTTGAAAGCACAATGCCCTTGGGAGCCCCCAGGGAGGCCCAAGAGCTGGAGCACAGGGGCAGGAAGGACAGCGGGGCAGGCCCCACGTGGGCCGAAGGACCAGCAGGCTCTGGAGAACCCAGGCTGTGCTGCAATCCCCACCGACCCCCACAGCAGGAGCAGAGCTGTGAAAAGTCTTAGCCCGGCCCACCCTGTCTCCCTCCACCTTCCTCCTCCTCGTCCTCCTCTTCACCTCAGCAGCCCCTACCCAATCCAGGGAAGCACACCCACGTCAGGACCCTCATGGATGGACTGGCCACCCATCAAGGGCAGCCCAGGTGGGCGAGACGCAGGCATGACATCCAGGGTGAAGGAAAGTTCAGGGCCGGGGACATCAGCTCCAGGGCAAGGGCATTCATGAGAGGAGTAAGGTCAAGGTCAGGGTGAGTTCAGGCAGTGAGGTAAAGGTCAGAATCACAAATGAAGTCAAGGTCACAGGATGGGGCCAGGGTCAGGAAGCAGGGCAGCCCTAGCCTACCATGGTCTGGAGTGCTCCCTCGTGCCGCAGCAGTCCTGGGGCAGCTCGGGGAGGGCCCTTTAAATAGCGTCCCCGGTCCGGACGGACAACAGTTTGGAAGGTGACAAAAGACAGGACGGAGGCCTCCCTGCCAGACACCTGTCTGGGACATTCAGAGTGGGTGGGACTGTGGGAGCCAGAGACCGTCCAAGCCTCCAAGCTCTCCACCTGCGCTGGGCCAACAGGATCTCTGTAGCTAAGGGCCCAGGGCCCGGGAAGGGGCTCTGGCTGAAGACACAGTACGTTGAGGCCGGGGACCAGCTGGGAAGGTGTGGCTTTGGGCCATGGACGGTCAGGAGAGCTCTCAAGGCAGGGCCGGCCGCACCAGCTGGGGACATTCCTAGCCGCATGGCCCCTCCGCTTCGGCTGTGCCCCTCTGGGCAGGACACCATCCTCCAGAAGGCTCAGGCATCCGGGTCAGCTCTCAGAGAGGGTTTCTGCATCCGCCTGGCCCTGTGTTTAAGTGCCGCCACCCCCCACCGCAGCCCTCCTCAGGGAGTTGAAAAGAGACAAAAGAAAGATGGAGGTGACTCTGACAAGGGAGCATTGGAAAATCAGATCTCCATCTCACTCTGGCCACGAACCCATATCCGGACATGGTCCCTCTCCCGAGGCTTGGCCCAGCCCGAGAGCTCTCCGGCACATGTGCCAAGCGGAGCCCGCACCTGCCTCTGGTACACCCCCCTCCCCCCGGGTGTCCAGTGCAGCCCCCTCTGTCCAGCCAAATTGGCCCCTGATCTGTCTGATCGGTTGCCAGGGCCGGCAGTGCTGGACTCAGGCAGTGAGCCCACCCGTCCCCAGGCTCAGGACAGCTTAACTGTCCCCGGAGCTGGCCCCAGGCCCCCGCGCCTGGCCAGGCTGATCTCCTCCTTCGGGCAGGGAATGTGATGGCGATCAGAAGAATGCCAGGCTGTGTTCTAAAACACGCTTTCACATTCAGTCCTTACCTCGTTTTCCAGATGGGGAAACCGAGGCACGCACAGGTGAGCCACTGGCCCAAGGCCCCTCTTTCTAGTGGTTCCAGAAAGAAGTTTCGGAAGGTTCTGCCCATCCCAGTGCTCCCCTCCCAGTGCCACCCCGGACTGGCTGACTGGGGCCAACCCCTCTGACCTCCCTAAGACTGGACCCTCCGCCCTGAGCTGGGGCCAGGCCTTGCCATGGGCCAACCACAGGCTCCACAGCAGGCGGGGGCGAAGGGGACTGACTCTGGGGGCAGGAGCCTGGATTCCAGCCCCGGCCCCTCCCAGACCCTCTTTGGGGATGGGCTGTGTGAGCAGGACGGGTGCCTGCCTGTTCTGGGCCAACGTGGAGGGCCAGGTGGCCGCCCGGGGGGCAGAGATTTTCTGCCCGGTCCAGGAGCTTGGCCCAGGTTCTCCTGGGTCCGGGCTTGCTGAGCAGGAGAGATGGTGCCGTCCGGGGCTATACCTCCTGCTTCCTGCTGGCACCAGACGTCCTCACACAGGGCCTGGATGCCCCTGAGCTCCTGGCCCAGAGATCACGGCCCAGGACCATGGAGGGGCTCTGAGGGCCAGCCAGCCTGCGGGAAGGGGAGGGGTGACATGCAGAGGGAATCACAGGGAGGTGGGGCTAAGTCTCAGCGTTCACAGGCTCTTGGCAAATTAGTCCTGACAGTCCCCGGCCCTGGCCTCCTTCTCCTTCGTGTTACGTGTTACGAAAGCAGGAAGAGCTGGGCAGAGGTCTGGGGGAAGTTGTAGAACCCTCTCTCCGGGGTTGGGGAACATTTGTCCCTGTGGCACAGGGGAGGGGTGGGAGGCGGGGACAATAATCCTGAGAAGGGGAATCCCTGAGTTCTGCCCTCACTGTGGGACCTTCACTCAGCAACACCAACACACGGACCCTCGGTTTCCGCATCTGATAAATGGTGCCAGCAGCCAGCAACCTGGCCCCCCCTTCTGTGGGAAGGAGGGGGCACTGCAGGCACGGGTAGGGATGTAGAGGGCAGACCCCCCATGTGGTGGGAGCCCTTGATGAGACCTCACTGCCACAGTCCCTCGTCAGCGGGCGGCTGCGGGGAGCCTGCTGCCATCCCCCGGTCACATTGGTTGGCTCAGCCGTCTGCTGTGCCGAACTGATGGCTGGAATCGCCGACTTTGGGGGACAGAGGGACCCCCGAGGGGTCTGTGCTCCCAGCCAGGCGCTGCTGGGAGCAAGTAGCTTGGGAACTGGAATTCTAGGTTGGCACCCGTGAGTCAGAGGAGCACTTCGTCCCCTGTGAATTGCACCCCACCTTCCAGACAGAGGGCAGCTCGAGATGACACGGCTGACCAAGCCCAGGAGGGAACTTGAAAGAGACCAACTGCCTTAAGAGGCAGCCCCCTCGCTGCCGGGGGACTGCCATCACTCAGAGCACCGGAGAACAGCTGCGGCAGGCAGGGGGTCTTACCTGCCAGCCCGGCTCCTGATCTCTTGCCACCTGCTCCTCCCGGTCAGCAGTCTGCCCCTGCCCTCTCAGGCCCACAGCCCTCGGTCGCTGCCCCAGCCAGCAACCACCTTGCCCTGCGCTGTTTACAAATGCTTCCCTCAGTCTCCTTCCTCAGAGCCTAGGCCCACGTCGCATGCTCCCTTCTCTCCCCTCTCCCACGGGAGTCCTTGTCTCCCTCTGATCTCCACAGCAGAGAGGACTGCCGGCCTGTCTGCTGACCGGGGGCCTCCCCACCATTGCCCCACCAGGAGGCCTCCAACCACGTGGCCTCTGAGTCCAGCCTGCTACATCCCAAGGGTCCTTTGCAGCCTCCCCAACGATGGGCCCTTGCTTGCATACCACCTTTGACGGAGAGCTCACTATTTTCCAAGCAAAATGCTCTTTGTTGTCTACTGCGGCCCTAGACTAGGTGTTCTGGGGGACTAAGCACTCATCCTTGACAATGCCTGAGTTTGGGCCACGTGCGAAACCCAGTCAGAAAACGTGCACTTTTATGCATCCATTCACCAAATACTGAGTAGGTGCTTATGGAGTGCTGGGCACTGCAGGCCCGGTGGTGAACAAAACGGTGTGGTTCTGGGCGAGGGGACCCACAGGAAAGTGCCCTCATCATGGGCTGGGGTTCAACAAGCTCGGCCTTGGAGGCTGAGGCG